TCTGGAGGGTACTGCTTCATCGTCTTCTGAAACTTTTGGACTAGCGGATCCTGGATGACCAATGGTTGAACGTCCTTGTTGAACGGGGGGTCCTGATTTCTGACCGTCAGACTACTGCTGGTCATGTTGAACTCCTTGTCAATGGCTTCCATCTCCTTTCTGAGGATGTCAACCTGCTGGATGGTGAATGGTTCGAAGAGGTCTTCCAAGAGGTACACCTCGTTGTCAAGTGGCTTCACCTTCAAGTGTCGCAGGAGGATGTGCGCGAGATCCTGACAGAACTGGTAAGGATACACCTGTGCTGCCAGTTTTGTTCTGCTTCCGAAGGTACCAGCATTGCCCTCGAGGGGTTGATGTTCGTGTTTGACTGAGCTGGTAAAATTCTTACACCTGAAGATTAGTCAAATTACCTCGGGAGGTAAACAGTGCGTCAAGCTCGTGGGCTTGAGACTTCTGGATCTTTCAGTCCGTATGCGCAGAAATGGAAGTCTCCCCAGGTCACGGATGGATCTGAAAACAGTTGTTGCACACATGCCAGATTCGATATCTTAGATGTCTGAGGATTTTCAATGATGAAGTATCTTCTGTGCTTCAACTGATATCGCGCAATGGATGCCACAAACTCAACCATGGGAAGATAGCGTTTCCGCTTCTCCCAGACTCTTTGTTGGTCTTGTTGGATGTTCTGCATATTTGACCATGGTCCACAGACCGGTGCCATGAGGATTACATCAGGTGCTGCTCCTTGATGATCCCCATGACCATGTGTCGTCCCTTGGATGTCAGTACGTCGAATTCAACACGGATGTCTACGGGAGTCCCAACCTTAAGACCTGAGAGTGCGCAGCATTGACTGAATCTGGCACTTCCTGCAAAGATCTCGAGAACGTGGATCTTTCCCTTACGTACACAACTCCAATGTGCGTGTTCAGGAACGGATGTGAGGTCCTCGACGAACATGTTCTCTGCCGGATGAGGTGCTGCAAGCTTGGGAGTTGTTTTACCCACGATACGTAGTGGCACTGAGAATTTTGGCTTGGGAGCTGGTGCGGATGACTCTTTCTTCTTGGAATCTGCTGAGGAGCCGGCTTGCTCTTTCTGCAATGATTCTGGCTCTTCTGGTAAGAGAAGATCAATTCCAGGTTTCCCCGGACGGATGGTTTCATCCTTTCTGACCTTCGTCATGTTGACCTTTTTGAGTCGAGTTCCAAGGTCGAGTCCTACCATTGCTCCTTCAATGGAAATGACTTTCCCTTTCAGCCATATTCCTCCCTTGCTTCCATCGGAACGGATCTTGGATTTGTCTTCCTGCAAGTAAAATACCTTGTCCTTCACCTGAAGAGGCTTAGAACTCATTCGGAGATTTTGAGCGAGGTCTCGTCGGATGTCTTCGGATTGACGTGCTTCTTGGAATGCTTGCTTGGACAGCTGCTTGATCTGGATGGCTGTCAGCTCTTCCTCATTCCTGTCAATCGTCAACTGAGTTGGTGTTGCGACATCGAGTTGGATGAGATCTGCTGGTCGTCTTCCGAATGCGAGTTCCAATGGTGTTACACCCGCGTAGGTGACAGCCTGATTCCTGACAGTTGCAGCTGCCTTTACCAGCTGTCTGTATGTCACCTTCTTCAGTGTTGCAGGTGCTGTGCCTGCCTTGATGGAACTTAGCATGATCTTGAGTTGTGCCTTCAGTAGTCGAACTGCAGCTTCGCCATGGTGTGTTCGGTCCCAAGGATATCGGCGTGATGTCAAGGGACTGATAAAAATGTTCCCATCTGGTCAAAACAGTTGCGGAGGACAGTGATGTTCTTGACTTCTTTCGTAGTTGTCACTGCCTCTGCAGTGAGCAATGTTGTTGCTCCATCCAGGATGACAAAAACAATGATATGTTCACCTGTTCTAAGAGGAACTTGACAGTGATCCATGAATGTCATGTCACCGAAGGTGTCCGCTCTAAGTCCACTCGTCTTGCTTCGTGATGGTGCATGTTTTGCCGCTTGGCAAACTTCACATTCACTTCGGATTTTGTCAAATAGATCGATTGTTGATTTTGGCAAGTGAAGCGAGCGAGTTCTGAATCGAAATTGATCTGTTGTCATGTGATGATGCTGGAGGTGGAGCTTCTTCAACTCTTCGGGGTTTGACAATCGCTTGTGGATTCTGCCTAGGGCAAGCGGAAGCGATGTTGGTTAATCTTTGGATGGTGCGAAAGGATCTGGCTCAATGGTCGACCGGCCCTTCTTGTCGATGATCCTGTCTGCTGCCGATCCGGAACCTGCTTCTTCGTCCTTAAGCGAATTGTCTGCGAAGGTGAAAATGGTCTTACCTGTCCACAGGTTAATCAATGGTTTGTTTGCCTGGGTTGTAAGTCTCCAATTGTCTTCTAGGATTTCTGGATGTGCACACGGATGAGCTGCTTGTTCTTTTCATCAAGGATCCAATGGAGGAGTTGTGTGATATCGGAGATGCGAGGTCCAATTTACCTTGGCTGTTTCTCCGCTTGCAAAAGTGAACTTGGTCTCGGCCGGGATGTACTGATAGGAGATGAGGTGCTTCATGGGTTCGATGGCCTGAGTAAAACGCTGGATTGCATGCCGGCTGCCCATGGATCTGGTACATCCGTTGTGCAGGATCGCATAGGTCGCTGAGGGTTGATGACAGGCGCCATCAGCTTTGTTGCCAATAGGCTTCGGTTTGCTGTCGCTGTCATTGACTGCTCTGAAACTGTATCTGATTGGATCAGCTTCTCATGGATGGCTTCTTTCTCATGCTGCTCATATGCATCATGGAATGCCATCATCACGTGTCCTGTGCTGGTTATCTCATGAAACGCTCCTCCGTCTTCTCTGCGGTGGCTGCGAACGTCTTAGATTTTCCTTTTTCTTGTCCGCCTTTTCCTTTGCCATTGTCATAGGATGGATAACCTTTGTTTCTATGATAGGGATATTGGAATTTTGATTTTCCTTTCTTTCCCTTCTTTCCTTTGCCTTTTCCCCAATATGCCAGGTCGTAGGGATCCTGATATTCGTTGGCCACATTGGCCTTCCCGCCAGAACCGCTTTTTTTTTGAAAGGAAGCCACCTCGTTGGTGACTGCCCTTTTTGTTTCCTGATTTTCCTTTTCCTTTTCTCTTCTTGAATCTGAAATTCCGCCCTGACACTTTTCTTGCTATGAACGCATCGTTCTCCTTGAGGACCCAGAATGTCTCTTCATCTTTGTTCGACATGAATCCTTCAATTCCACCTTCATCTTCAACCCAAAAACCTTCTTCTCCTTCGTAATCACCTTGTTCGAGGATGAAGAATGTGTTGCTTCGGTTGCCTCCTTGAGGTCTGATGGATGGATCTTGGATGGATGTTCTGGTCGTGATGAAAAGTTCATGGTAATGCGTCTTCAGCATCTCATAGGAGTAGTTCTCGAGTGAAATGTTTCTCAGTGACATAGCACTGGCCAGTCTTTCTCTCTGCTGATCTGACAATTCACTCTGAATGATGAAAAACTGCGCAATGAGATTATCCCCGAAGGGAAATGCGTCCCGCTGTCTGTCCTTCATTCCCGGAGGACTGTTGGATCATCCTCATTGAGCAGGACTGGAGGCGGCGCTCGAGCACCGGCAGCTTGCTGATGTCGAGCCATTGTTCTGTTGTTTGCTTCTTGTACGGACTGTCGGAATGATGGGGACTGTGCCGTAAAGACGGGCATCAAGTCCATCCATGCTGCCTTCAGTCTCATGAGAAGTATTTCAAACTTGGACGTAAAAATGAGGAACTCCTGGTTCTGCCTCCTATGATTGAAGAAACTGAGGAGCCTGTACAGATACACGTTGGTCGCACCTTTCAGAAAGTACTTCTTCAGCGTGTTCTTGAAATAGTTGACTCCTTCATCAGGATCTTGCAAAAGGTCATTTTGGAGGACTGCCTTGTACATATAAGCATCTCCTGTGAGTCTGCTTTTGAGGAGTGGTCCTCTCTTGGGTGCTTCCACCGTGGTGATTGTCACCCAGTCGTCCACAAGTTCTTCATACCTGAACCAGCTGACTTTTCCGTCGTACGATGGCGGCTGCTTGGCAGTCATCGATAAATTGAGTGTTTCCTCCGTATAGCCGGATGGTTTGGCCATACTTGCATAGACTTCCATGAAGTCTTCTCCATCGGATGACATTTCTCCTGGATCTCTGCGGAAAACCTGCTCCGCTACCACAAATTGAGGCCCACTGCCGGGGGTACCTATCCCAGAAGGGAACTGGTACCTTGTGGTAGTAGAGGTCGTTTATGTGGTCCCGGAGAGAGTCCAATATGCCAATATGGATGATTGGAGGATGGATTGTCCCTGGTGGCTTGTATTGAGTGGTATACCTGTAAAGCGGTCTGCAAGCCTTTTCTCAATGTACCATGCGTCGGATGAATTGAAACAGAAGGGCCTTGAGCCAAATGTTGCAGGAGATCAAGTGTTCAACAAACCAAACCCGGGGGGGG